AAAGCTTTATTTCAAATTAATAGTTTGAATAATAGTGTTGATTTTTGTAGCACGTCTCATATTTCAATGCTTTGCAAAATTTTTAAAGTTTGAGATAAGATTTATGGTCTTCTGTATAACTATTTATGTCCATTGGCTTTATTTTGTAAGTCGTCTTTTTTTTTCTTATCACATCTGTTTTTCAATGCCAAAAGGTGTATGTTCTTTTCTTTCAGCTGATAAATTTATGCTCAAAATATTACATATTTTGGGCCAGCCCGTGGCTCACTCGGGAGACTGCGGTGCTGATAACACCAAGGCCCCGGGTTCGGATCCCATATAGGGATGGCCGGTTGCTCACTGGGTGAGCGTGGTGCTGACAACACCAAGTCAAGGGTTAAGATCCCCTTACCGGTCATCTTTTGAAAAAAAAAAAAAAAAAAAAATTACATATTTTAAATAGGTAATAACAAGAGAGCAGTTCCTTTATTTGGGAAATGTTTGTAATATAATGTTATGTGAGCAGGGGGAAGGATATAAAATTGCACATATATTAAGATTATGTTTATGTGAAAATTCAAGGAAAAAATGTTACAAAATTAGCGAAAATCAGATAGTGGTCACAGTGTAAGGGGAGTAGATTTTTTTTGCTTCTTGTTTTTCCCTTTTTTCTACATTCTAAATGTTTTGTGATTTTGTCTGCTGATAAAAAAAAAAGAACCAAAAGTTAAAAGACATTTTAAGAACAAAATAATACAGTCTATTTAATTTCATTTTGCAAAAAAATATTTTGTTTTTTTATGCTTATCAAAGTAACTTATGTTCAATGTGCAAACATGGAATGCTCCAAAAAAACATATAAAGAAGGAAGTTAAAAAATGACTGTAATTCCAAATCTGGATATAGTCACCAGTAACATTTTGGTGTACCTACTTTCCACTCTTTTTAAGTGAATAATTGTTTAATGAAATTAGAATTTGAGTACATGTAGAGCTTTTTTTCCTTTTCCTCAAACACCATGAGACTTTTCCTTGACATCACTTTTGTTTCAAATATTATCTGTAATGGCTGTTTAAGAGTCTTCAGAATGAGTATCTTATAACCCATGTCATTACTCTATCATTTTGTGAAGTTAAGCTGCTTTCCCTGTCTTGATTTTACAAATCATGCTGCACTGAACATCACTGTACA